CAGCAGGAAGCCCTCCCCATGCTGCAGCAGCGGAAGGAAACCCTCAGCCGTAAGGTGACGATGCTTCTCCAGTGACACGTCTCCTCACACCCCAAGCCCCAGCACTGCCGGCTCTCACCATACGTGGAGAAAGACCAGGACCAGGGCCTCGATTCAGCCCGTGTGGACACACAGGCGACGTCAGGTCCACGAGTCAACCCCTTGGCCGGTGAACCCCTGGACCCCTTGCAACAGGGAGCTTCCTGGAAGGGGCGTTAGGGACACCAGCAGACCCTCTCGGCGTTGAATGGAGGGTCTCTAGTACAGTGGTTCTAACGCTGCCCCCCACCTCGGTCCCTACCTTCAAGGTCTTCACGGCCACCGTCAGGCTGTACTTCTTCCACACGCCCTCGTACACCTCCCCGTACTGGCCTCCGCCCAGCTTGTGCTTCATGGTGATGTCCGTGCGCTCCATCTCCCACTTGTCGTAGTTGGGGGACACGCCATAGACGGTGGGCTTGTTGCGCTTGGGGGCTGGGTAATGGAGGGTGGTGATGAGCCCATCGGCCACAGTGGAATGGTGATGGACCAGCTCGGCCAAGGTGTTGAAGCGGCTCTCAGAGGAGACATAGAGCTGAGGAGGACAGGGAACAGCCGTCAGCAGTGGAAGAGGCCCGACTCAGACAAGCCACAGCACGCCTGCGGAGCGCGAAGCCCTCCACCTGGGACTGGCCAGTCCTTCCCTACTGCCCTGGGATGCACTGCTAAAGCAGAGACGCGCCACGTTTTGCCCAGGGCCTTTGTGCTCGGTCCCTCTGCCTGAAACCCTGCACCCTAATCCTTACAGGCCCAGCCCAAGGCCAGCCTTAAGGTCTGAGAAGGCTTCCTTGCCCACCCAGCACTGGCCGTCTCACTGCCTACGCTCCTCTGCACAGGTCTCACTGAGCTGAGAGCTGACCGTGGCCAGCCGACCTGCCCATTTCCTGTCTGCCCTGCATGGGGAGAGCCCTGTGCCCCCAGCGCTGAGAACAGGGAATGATCACAGAATAGGCTTTCAAGAAATAGTCCTTGACTAAATGAGCCAACAGAACTTAGTAAGCTTTTGCTGACTAGAAAAGAAAATAACTTATAGGAACCAGCAGTTAGTGTAATGGCTATGTCACTGGACTCCCACGTAGTCGACCATGGTTCGCGTCCCGGACCCAGTGGCTTAAAACTCACACCGGGCGCGTGTACGTGCATGCCCAAGATCCCGAGAGGAGAATGGAGGAGAAGAGATTGCGGTGTGACCATCCCCCCTGGGGGGTGATTTCTCTCTTTCTGTCTCTATGTCTCTCTCTGTCTGGCGAGTGCACGCGCCCTATAGCGAAAAAACCTCTCCCAAAAAAAAGAAAAGAAAAGAACTTATTTAACTTGCAATTACAAACGGCACAGCAATCACAAGCTGGAAACCTGCATTCCCAGCCCTCACGCATGGCTGTGTGGGAAGAACAGAGGACGAGCCTGGAGAAGCCTGCGGGAGGCCCACTAGAGGTCAGCATTGCTCCCGGAACAGAGCTGGGAGGGCTGTGCGGGTAGAAGGGATTAAGTCTTGGGGCCAGCAGGTGGTTAAAGGCCCTGGTTTCCCACATGGCCAACCACAGTTTGAGTCCTGGACCTGGCCACTTGCCTTCTTGTTTTCCCTTTCTCTCTCTCTATCTGGTCAGATTAAATAATAATACTACGACTATAAAATGAGTTGAAACAAATGAATAATTCTTAAAAAAAAAAAAAAGAGAACATTAAGTCTCTGCTAAGTCTACGGTATGGCAGGACCTGTGCAGCCACCCCCACCCCCCCAGGCTCGTCTGGACATGACTGGGACGGACAGAGAGCAGCGCCTGGCTGCAGTCACAGGGGTGACGGCACCTTACTTTCCCGTCTCTGCCTGTCTCAGTGCGTGGGGAGGAAATGCCCCTTACCAGAAACGACCCCTGAGAGCACACAGTATCTGGGCTCCAGGCACCCGACTGACTATTGGTCTGCTGAGGCAGCCGCATTGCTGAGGGCCCTAACGTCTCAATGAGGTGTTCAGAGACGAGGAAGGAGGGGCTGTGGCAGTGGTGACATGAGGGGCGAGGGGCGAAAGGGAGGTGGAAGGGACTCTAGCCCCAGCTGTGGTTGTCACACCTCACCACCTGAGGAAAGCGAAGGAAAGTCTGGCAGAACTAAGGCCCGTGGTGGCTGGTCATGTTAGGCACTCTTACTTTCCGTATGTTTGCAATATCGGATAACAAAAATATTTTTAAAAGAAAGAAATAACGGGTCAGTGGTGGGTGGTTAAGGGGGCTGGATCCCACATGGCCAACTGTGCTGTTTGAGTCCCAGACCCAGTGGCTTGAAAAACACAGATGTATGTGCCCAAAATACTGAGAGAAAGGAGAGATAAAGGAGAAGGGATTGCAGCGTGGCCATCCCCCATGGGGATGCTTTCTCACTGTCCTCTTCCTCTCTCCCCTGTGAGCTCACAAACCCTCAGGCAGAATTTTGTGAAAAAGGAGAAAATAACAAAACTCACAAGTTGATTCCTTCTAAAATCCTCAAGAGGGTACGTACAAAACAGCAACAAGCTCCACCCATCTCTCTTTCCGCCTGGATGACGAAAGTGAATTCTTTCAAGTCGAGCAAGGCACCCAGTGGGTGGAGTGGTGGCGGGGCAGCTGGATCCAACGTGGCTGCCTATGCAGTTCCAGTCCCCGACCCAGGGGCTTAAGGAGCATGCCAGGTGCATGTGCCCGTGTGACAGAAGTCCCAAGAGGAGAATGGAGGAGGAGGGGTTACGCATGGCCATTCCCCAGGGGTGCCTTCTCACTCCCCACCCTTCCGTGGGGAGTACATGTGCCTATTGAAAACCTTTAAAAATCAGCCAAATCATTGGCAAACTCTGCATTTGCGACCTTTAGATAATGATGTAACAATGATTCTGCTAAAATTCTGAGAATCCCAAGGCTGGTCCACAAAGACTCTTCCACTCTGAGGACCTTGCTCTTCATGTGCCAACTGTGGCCCTGGGACACTGGCTTGGAACTCTGGACACAGATGCTTTTGGGAAGAGGGGGCCCGCCAGGAGACCCTCTTTGCAGGTTTGGGAACCTGAGTGCACTGCCCTGCTATGGTCCACACTCAGACCCACGAATGTCCACGGCAGAGCAGGGGCAGCGGGAGTCTGCACTGAGGCCTGCTCACCAGATACCCACAGACACCCACACAGCCTGACTCAGGTCAGACATGAGGGCCGGTCACACAGGCACCAAGGGGACACAGGACTGCACCTACTCCCTGCTCCTCGGGAACGTGTCAGCTGTCCAGTGACCTCACACAGGTCACCAGGTCCAGCCACTGGCCACCACCGAAGGGGTGTCAAGAGGCCCTTCCAAGGACCCTCCAGGGTGGGGGCTGCTCTCCTTAGGAGATTGCCTGCACGGCACTGGCCCCAGGCTCCTGGGAAGGGGCTCCCGCCCATTCTCCATCGGGGCAGGAGCTGCAGTGCAGCTGAGAGCAGCATGCCCTACCCAGAAACACGTTCCTGGCACCCAGCGCGGAATGCTAAGGGCTCCTCGAAGTCTGGGCTCAGCAGAATTTGCTTAGACTCATTCAATCCCTCACAGGTTACTCTGCTGGCGACTTCAGTGGTTTCTCTGAATGGGCACTTAATCCTTCTCGGTAATTCGATTTATAGACCCTGTGGCTTAGTTCATCTTCCAACATAAAACCTATAAAGTGACATTTACTAAATACAGAAATACTCTCCTGCCTGTGCCCTCTGCACTTCCGATTCACAGCCCTTCTCCCCAGCGTGTCACCAGCTGTCAGCGTGGGGGCTTCCTTCTGACCAGTTCTAGTTGGGAGCAGCACTTTGCTGGTGAACTGGGCAGCCACCAGGAATTCGTGGCATGTTCAGAGAAGAAAGTGAAGTCAACACCATGAGTGGCATGTCATTATGCCAGCGCCTCGTTCCGTCAACAGTCAGGGTGCTCAGCCTGGCTCTTGTCTCTTCCTCATCGCGCACGAACCCAGAAGACAGGGCCTGTCAAAGACTCCCTGAAAAGGCTTCCCTCCTGGCAGTTACATGCGCAGGCTTAACGGAGCCCAGACTTGTGCAACCTCGGGCTCTCAGACCCCAGAGCCCCACCTCCATTTCCAGCCTGCTTGGCCAGGACGCCATGCTGCTCTGAGGGCTGCTCATGGCCCAGCAGAAGGCCAGAGCCCAGCATACGCAAGGGAGTTCCAAGGCTCCGCTACCAGGGGAAGCTGGCGATGCTGCTGGCAGGCTTCTCCAGGACGCTTGTACCTGCTGAGCCACCAGCAGGGGGGAATCTTGGCAATTCCGCAGGCTACTCTGCTGGCTCCTCCCGTCACCTCTACTGCAACTTAAGCCCATATTACACTCCTGTCAATGTAAACCCGTCACTAGAGCAGACCGTGAAAATATATGTCACTGGCATCTCTGTCACTCATTCACTCATATTTGCTACAAGGTGCATGCACCTGCTGGAAAGAGAAAGTGAGCAAGAGAGAAAATACCCCCTGGAGAAATGGCCATGCCACAATCCCTTTTTGGTCATTCTTCTCTTGGGACTTTGGGCATGCATGTACCCTTGCCCAGTGTGCTCTTCAAGCTGCCAGGTCTGGGACTTGAACCACGCAGTCATGCATGTGGGATCCAGCTGCCTTAACTACCCTGCTCTACAGATGCTAGCTCTAAGCTCTCTAGCCCCAAGCCCTAAGAAAAAGAAAGCCTCCATCAAAGGCTGTAGGAGTTCTGGGGCCTTTCAGTGGCACCTTACAGAAGTGCATCAGCTGTGAATATGCATCACCAGGTATAAGAGCAATTCAGGCAGGAGTGGCACAGAAAAAGCGGTCTCTAACTCTGCTGACAGAGGGCTGCAAACTCTGACAAAGCATCAGGAGAATGACAATCAAATTCCAGGGAATCTAAAGATTCTTAATATTATCAAGACTGCCAGAAAACACCAACGGCTCAATCTGGTGTTGGCCCTTTCAAGAGTCCAGCTTAAAGCTCCTGACAAGTCCAGCTCTGTGTCCTGAGTTGGTAACCACAACACACGCTGAAGAACTCAACACGAGAGTGGTAAGAAGCGCTCTGAGAGTGGACCAGAAAGAAATCCTCTGGTGCCTTCCAGAAGAGTATCAATTCGGTTGTTTTCTAAAGATTAGTTCATTTGAAAATAAGAATTAAACTTACTTAACCTCAGACTATCCCTCCCACCAACCTTAAATTTTCCCGTTAGAAATAAAAAAAAAAAAAAAGAGTTGCATCAAAGCTCTGCTATGAGAAGCATTTTTCAGTTCCACCCATGGCTGTCACCACCCCATTCTGAGGCTGCTCACTCATGCCAGGGGTGTACTCTCACCCAGCTCAGCCCTCAGGTGCTCAGACTCAGGGGGAGCTTCTGTGGATGGCCACCTGCGGACCTACGGGCTGGGGGTTCCCCCTGTGCTCAGAAACTAAGAGGAGGACCCTGCCACGGAGGGAGGAGGAAGGCCTAAGATGCCCTGAGGAGCTAGCTGATACAGCACTGTCCACTCAGCTGAGTTCCCTGGGCTCCACCTGCAATGAGAGGAGCCCACCCT